TACCTTAAATGCATTGATTCAACTTTCCATTAGTATTGATAGACGTCTAAGAGAAAGAAGGGCTGAAAAAGTTCTTACTAATTCTACTTGGAGAAAACCATTCACTCCTCCAAAATTGCCTGAAAAAATTCCTCCTCAAACTGAACCTATGGAAGTAGGTATAATAAGAAGTCCTCTTACTTCTGAAGAAAGAACAAGAAGGAGACAACTAAACCTATGTATGTATTGTGCCTCAAAAGAACATCTAATTCCCGAATGTCCTCTACTGAAACATTCAAAAGGTGGTAAGCATCATTCATCTACTTCTATATTGAACGTCCTACAAAAAAAACAAAACATCTACTTATTTTTCTATATCTTTCATATTACAGTGGGACACAAAAAGAATTATGACTGAGGCCATAATTGATTCCGGTGCTAATGGAGCCTTCCTTGATTTTTCCTTTGTTACAAAAAATAAAATTCCTTGTGTTCAAAAAACTAATTTTGTTCCAATCAGAGTTATTGATGGTTCATTTATATCCTCAGGACCCATAAAAGATGAGACAATTCCTCTAAGAATGATTACCAACAACGTTCATTCCGAATTCCTTACATTTGATGTTATTAAATCTCCACTTTATCCAGTCATTCTAGGAATTAATTGAAAGGTTGAGAACCGCAACTATATTCACTAAACTAGACCTTCGTGGCGCATATAACCTCATTAGAATAAAACAGGATGATGAATGGAAGACCGCTTTCCGGACAAGATATGGTCTCTACGAATATCTTGTGATGCCTTTTGGGCTCTGTAATGCCCCGGCAACTTTTCAACATTTTATAAATGATATCTTTAGAGATCTCTTGGATGTATGTGTTATTATCTATTTAGATGATATCTTAATATATTCTAACAATCTGGACGAACATAGGAAGCATGTAAGATGGGTTCTATCTAGATTGAGAACACACAAATTATACGCTAAACCCGAGAAATGCCTTTTTGAGGTTACTGAATTCTCTTTTCTAGGATATATTATTTCACCTCATTCCTTGAAGATGGATAATTCCAAAATTGAATGTATTATTAACTGGCCCGTCCCTACTAGTACAAAGGAGTTGCAACAATTTCTTGGATTTGCAAATTTCTATAGAAAATTTATTAGAAATTACTCAGAGATATCGCATCCACTTAATCTCCTTAACAGTAGTAAGCGTCCTTTTAATTGGAATGAAAATGCACAAACAGCCTTCAACGAATTAAAAAGAAGATTTACAACTGCCCCCATTCTTCAACTGCCTAATCCAACATTCTTAAATGTTCTTGAAGTAGATGCATCAGATACAGCTATCGGAGCAGTACTTTCTCAACAAAAAACACCTCAGGATCTGCTCCATCCAGTTGCTTTCTTTTCAAGATCCTTGAGCTCCGCTGAAAAAAATTATCCTATTGGTGAAAAAGAATTGTTAAGTGTTAAAGCTGCCTTTGAAAATTGGCGTCATCTTCTTGAAGATACAAAACACCCTATAGTGGTTTATACTGATCATAAACATCTTGAATATCTCTATACTAACAAAACCCTTTCAGCTAGACAAGTTAGATGGAACCTTTTTTTTAACCGATTTAACTTCCAATTAGTATACAGACCTGGAACTAGAAATAAAAAGGCTGACGCTCTTTCTAGAATTCCTCATAAAACTACTATTGATGATTACCCTCCTAACAAAACAATTGGAATCCTTTCCTCTCTATATGATGACATAAAGAATTTGAATCAAAAAGATCTTGAACTTCCCAATACACCTATGTTAACAAAAAAGGATGGCATATTTTATTTTAAAGATAGAATTTATATTCCTCCCATTTTTAGGAATAAATAACTTAAAATGGTTCATGATTCTCCCCTAGCTGGACATCCTGGGATCAAGAAAACTCTTGAATTAACTTCACGATATTACTGGTGGCCTCGCCAGGATAAAACTATTGAATTATATGTCAAGACCTGCCCTATCTGTCAAAAGTCCAAACCTGAACATCATCAACCTTTTGGATTCCTACTTAACTTACCTATTCCAGAAAAACCTTGGCAATCCATTTCTATGGATTTTTTGGTGGATC